GAACTTAGTCCTAGAACTCTTGTCTTTTCTATATATATTCTCTTTCTCTTTTTTTTTTTTTTCAGTATTGGGGATTGTTTTTAGCCAGATTTTTTGTTGCTGTGGCCAAAAAGACCTGAGAAGAACAATTAAAAGAGGAAAATATTATTTTGGGGCTCACAGTTTCAGAGGTCTTAGTCAAAAGGCTGGCCCCATTCCTTGGGGCTGGAGATGAGATGGAACATCATGGGGAAGAGTGTGGTGGAGGAAAGTGGCTTAGGACATAGCACCAAGAAGCTGAGAAAGAGAGAACAAGGACAAAATATAAACCCCAAAGGCACACAATTAGAGACCCACCTCCTCCAGCCACACCCTACTTGCCTGTCAGAGGATTAATGTACTGATTAGATAAAACCTTTCATAATCCAATCATTTCATCTTTAAACTTTTTTTGCATTGTCTCACACATGAGCTTTTGGGGGACACCTAATATCCAAACCATAACAGTGATAAAACCCAGAACTTCACACACGCCAGGCAAGTACTCTACCACTGAGTTACATCCCCCGCCATTATTTTATTTTATGTTATTTTATTTGACAGAGTTTGGCTAGATTGCCCAAGCTGGCCTTGAACTTGAAATTCTCCAAGGTAGCTAGATTTATAGTCATGTCAGGCTTCTGTTTCTTCTCTGATCGTCATTAGATGGCTGCAACTAATTAGACCTCAGCTAATATGTATTTGGGCAATGCTCCAACTCTGAACTACATCCCAGCTCTAAGTCTCTGAAAGCTTAAATTTGGTGATTTCAAAATTTTATTTCCAGCCCCTATCCCTCCCTTGAAACCCAGCTGCCCTTATAGTGTGTCTTTTTGGATTTCTGAAAAAAATCTTTCTTTCTCTCTCTTTCTTTCCCCTCCTTCCTTCCCTCCCTCCCTTTCTTTCTCCTCTATGTCTCCCCATTCATAATACAGACCAGGCACAGGGCTTGGGCTGAGGTGTACAATTGGCATACACTCATCTTTCTATATAGTTAGTATAAGAACATAGCCCTAGGTAAGTATTAGGAGGCCCCAAAAGATACTTCAAACTTAATATGACTACTTACAATTATCTAACCATATTTCTCCCATTCTTTCTAGTCTCAGTTAAGATACCAGCATTTACTTGGTCAAGTCTCAATTTTTTTTTGGTAGGGGGAGTACCAGGCATTGAACTCAGGGGCACTCAACCACTGAGCCACATCCCCAACCCTATTTTGTATTTTATTTAGAGACAGGGTCTCACTGAGTTGCTTAACACCTCACCATTGCTGAGGCTGACTTTGAATTCATGATTCTCCTGTCTCAGCTTCCCCAGCTGCTGGGATTGTAGGTGTGKGCCACCATGCCGGGCTCAAGTCTCAATTTTTAAAGTAATTTTTGATCATTCTCTTGTCATTATCAGCAAACATCCCATATCTTATCCATTTGCAAGTTCTCTGGTTTCATCTCCAAAATATATCTGTGCTTACACATGTCCCCTCATTCATGCTCCTGTTTTGGCTAAGATCACCATCATTTTCTACTTAGAGCACATTGAAATATATATTCCTTGCCTCTAGTATCTTGTACCCTCCACCAACAAAATAAGTACCAGAGTGGCTAGAGTTATCTTAGAAAAAAAATTGTTTCATTCCTTTGCTTAAAATGAACTTAAAACAACTCCAATACCACAAAGTCTTATATGATCTGTTCCCTGGTTTCCCAAGTTGTCTTGTATCACTATGCCCTTTGTCCTGTGTTCAGCAACTCTGGTCCTTTCATTTTCTTCTTCTTCTCCTTCTCCTTCTCCTTCTTCTTCAAGTGTATCAGAGTGAAAGTACCATAAAGGCACAAATTTTTGTATTTTTTCCTTTGGTCTGTTCATTGATGAATCCTAAAGAACCTAATATATGCCTGGCATACAGTAAGCATCCAATTAATACTTTTTCAATGGAAAATTGAATGAATTTGTTCACACCATACTACTTTGAAAAAAAAAAGTCTCATGGCTTTTCCATTTGCTGTTTTCTCAGACTGGAATGTTCTCCAAGATCTTAGCATGACTGGCTACCCCCTCCACCCCACCCCCCAATCATTTAACTCCCAGCCCACGTTAGTATCTTTTAGAAAGGAGTTGTCTGATCCCCTGTTTGAATTGTCAGCATTCCCACCTTTTTGTATTTCTTGCTTTATTTTCTTCCCAGCATTTATAATCACCTGGAATAATGATAATTATTATGTGTATTATAACACATTATATCAATTATAATAGAGAAATTATTATAATGTTTATTATGATATATTATTATTATTAGGTACTAGGAATGTAACCCAGGGCACTTTTGCACTGAATTACATCCATAGTCATTTTTATTTTTATTTTGAGACAGGGTCTTGCTAAGTTGCTTAGGGCCAGTTGATGAAGCTGGCTAGAATTTATAACCCACCTGCCTCAGCCTCCTGAGCTGATGGGATTACAGTGTGCTACTGTGTCTGGCTATCACCTAAAATTATTTATGAATTTTCTTAGGTGGCTCCGCTGAGAGCAGGGAGTTAATTTTTTGTTGTTGTTGTTCCCTCTTCTATCCTCATTGTGTAGAACAATGACTGGTATACAGTACATATATGATAAATATTTTCTGTACACCACAATAAATGGCTTATACTTTGTAAAATTTTTTTGTACCTTTATTTTATTTATTTGTTTTTATGTGGTGCTGAGGATTGAACCCAGCGCCTCTCATGAGCCACAACCCCAGCCCTATACTGTGCAAATTTTAAGAAACTATTTTAAAGCCACATAAAAATCAGATTCCTAAGATTCATTTCAGACAATCTTGAATAAAAACAAGCTGTGGGATGCGGTTTACTTGTAATATTTGTGTACTTCTAAGTTTTAGAACATTTCTTTAAGTTCGTGAGGATAACTGGGACACTCTGGTTCAAATAGGCCCACATCTCATGATGAATGTTCTTTTGGTTTCTTGTGTCATTTCTGGTTAGCAGACCTCAGAGACTTCCACTTCTAATGAATCTCAAAAGGAATTCTCCTCAGAGGCCAAGGGTTATAAGGCGTGGGAGCTTTTGTCCAACCTTTGGCATAATATGTCACTCACAACACTAAAAAGAGATCATTTTAACGACTCTCTTAGCCAATATATTCATTCTTAAGGCAAATGACTTTCATGTCCACATACTCAGTAAAGAGTGAATAATGAATATCACTTCTCACCAAAAATGTTAAAGTTTACCTCATCAAATCCCTTTATATATTTTTTTCAATTAAATTCAGCAAGGTTTATTACTCTTAACCTTTATTTATTTATTTTTTGGTACTAAGGATTGAACCCAGGGGCACTTAACAACTGAGCCACACCCCAGCCCTTTTTATTTTAATTTAATTTTATTTTAAATTTATTTATTTATTCTAATTTGTTATACATGATGGCAGAATGCATTATTTATTTTTATTTTTGAGACAGGGCCTCGCTAAGTTGCTTAAGGCCTCACTAAATTGCTGAGACTGGCCTTGGATTTATGATTCTCCTGCCTCAGTCTCCTGGGATCACAGCCTGCCTCACTGTGCCCAGCTGTTTTTGAATTTTTAAAAACAGAACACTCTCCTCTTCTTTCCACTATTTTCAATTATTTAAACAAATCAGTAAAGAGAATATCAAATGAATTTTAGTTTTTCCCCTTGTAGATATTTTCTGTTCTCAAGTGTCCACTCCCCCCCATTTTCTCCTCTTTTTTTTTTTTTTTTTTTTGTTAGATAATAGTTTAGCCAGTTTGTAGGTTTTATCATCAGCATTCTGTTTAAGTTCTGGGCAGTGTACTAAGGAAAGCACTTTACTCAGTATTTTAAAGAGAGATCTCATTTAATCTTCAAAACGTGGATGAGAAAACTATTCCCTGAAAGTACAAAGGTCCAAGGTCTTTGAAATCTAGTTGCCTTCCCTATTGCCAGCGGGTAGTTAGAATTGAGGTTTGTATTCCAAAGCCTGAGCTCCTATCTACTTTGTTGCCCTTTGAGAAGGCAACTTTAAGAGAGGATAAGATGTGGAAGTCTGAGGCTGAGAAATGAATGGCTTAAATCACTTGTTTAACCAGAGTTAACTAATGCTTCTCAGTGTTTATGGAACTCAGTTTAATTTTCAGAATGGAAAAGGGGAGAGGAGAGAAGCAGTATAGACGTTTTCTGGTTTGACAGGGACTGAGCGCAGATTTGTGCCCAAGGACTGAAAGGTGGATGGGCTGCGCCTGGGTCAGCGGGGCGCACCCTGAAAGACTTAAGACTGAGGCGTGTCCTGGGCGCGCTGAGCCTGGAAGCGTTGTGGTAGTGTTTGGTTTTCGCCCGCGCTAGGCTGGCAGGCCCCTTGGGATGAAAACTCCTGGTGGGGCGGGAAGGCCCCAGCTRACGCCTGTCCCGCCACAGCCCTGGTGTGCTCCCCAGAACTCTGAGCCTCTCAGGCGTGCGGGAATATGGGCTGGGAATCCCCGCGCACAGTCAGTCCTCTTATTGCGGACACACCGCTGGATATTTTCTTCCACAGTGTCCAGGCCCCAGAGGGGGCTTGACCCTGAATGCAAAGAGTCGGGGTTTCTGATTGGCTTAGAGTACAAACGCAGGARAGCGCCGCCTGAGACCCGCTCTTCGATTGGATTTTACGTGAACAGTAGAGCACGAAATAAAGAGGCCTTCAGTCATTGGGCCATTGTGTGAATCTCCTTTTGGCTTCTCTGCCGACTGAATAAGCGTCTCAGGATCTTCGTCATGACTCTTAAATCTGGGCCTGTCAGTTCGCCCCAGCGTTTCTCGTCTCTAGGCACGGCATGGAGTTTACAGAGTGTAACCAATCATATAACGTCGAGATCAGGTTGCCAGGCAGATTATGCTAATAAGGCCCCGCCTTTTATGCTGCTCCCACTCTGCGGCGGGAAGAACCACCTGGAGGTGGCGGGGGGGTTTGATTTCCATCACCCCTAGGGAGAGAGGATCGGGGACCCGCTGATCTTCCAGCTCCCCTCATCCAACGTCGTGTAAGTACCTAAAGGATTAAGGGAACTGGATAAGCCAGGGTCCAGAGTACCCCATAGTCTGGGAGGGTGTTTCGTCTTTGCTTAGTCCCACCCAAAATGGCGCCCAGCTCTTTCCGCGTCTCAGAGCCCGGCCGGGGCCAACCGACCGCGGACCCGGGTGTGGGGGGGGAATTGATGGTGGTGGGGGGGAGAAATCCCGGCGGCACCGCCCGATGGTACAGTCCAGCCGGGGCTGGGACAAGGCACCTCTCTCGGGGTGGGGGGTCAAACCATCTACACCTTCTAAGGGGAAAAGGGCAAAACCTCCTCCGGGAGGCCCTCCTGGCGCTGCATTCAGCGATGGCTTCAGCGCCTCCTCGCCCCTTCCTTCCCCGCGCTCAGTCTCCCCCCTGCGACCCCCGAGTGGCTAGCACGCTCTGCCGGCTGCGCGCACCTCTCCTCCCCTGCCCGCGTTGGTTGGGCCGGGACGGCGGTTGGGCTGCCTGCGCGTTCCGGCAGCGGCGGTTGTGCGAGCGCGCGGGATGCGGCGGCCTGTCTCCGGCGGCCAGTCTCCATCGGCTGGGCTCCCATGGCCGTCGCGGGGGGTGGTGGCGCGGTCTGGGCTTCGGGGCTGGCTGGCGGGCCCGCGGCGGGCGGGCAGCGGGCGTGCACGGCCGAGGTCTGTAGGATGGGGCCCCAGCTTTGTTTGGCGAGGCCAAGCCGCCCACCTGCCATGGATAGCGGGTCCTCCAACCTTTATTTACCAGATGGCGTGGCCTGGACTAGGGAAGCCGCTTTCAGTTGTTTGGGACGGCCTGTGGGACTGTCCTGTGAAAGCCGGGTTGGGGTGGGCAGGTCGGAGGCCAAGGTCGTGCTCCCGGCCTTGCTCCTGACAGCCTGCGCCCACGGAGCAGTGCCAAGGCCGGCGAGGCCCGTCGGTGTTCGGGAGCGGGTTGACAGTCCAGCCGACTGTCAGCTTTTATTAAGTAAAAACTTAAGTGTGTAGCCAGGTATTAGGTTTTAAGTGAAATGGAATAGTCACCGTCTGCCCTCCAGGCACATGAAGGCGGTTTTGGGTTTTGCTTTGTTCTTTTGGTTTTGCTACTTAGAATAGTTAGATTTTAACCCATTTTTCAATCAATATTTGTGTACACTTAGGGGAAGAGGAGGGGTGGCTTTGTGCTGTCATCTAGGATTAAACATCACTCAACCGAGTCCTGTGTCCTGATTCGTCTCGTTCACCTGTTCCAAGTTTTGACCGCTAATCATC